TTGACAATTAAATGGTATCATGATTCCTGCCCTCAAAGAAGTTACAATATAGAGACAGAGATATCGGGTAGATAACTATCCTTATAAATACATAATCACCGGCTTTATAATATAAGAGGCACTGTGAAGACAGTAAAATGTGCACAGGAAAGAGCTTGCTAACTTTGAGAAATTGAAAGATCAATATGGCTAGAGAGCAGTGAGTGAAGAGAAGGGTATCATTCATTTACTGTTGTTTCATGATCTGTCTTCCTATAAAACTGTAACTGAGTTAGATCACCTTAGCACAGAATAGACTAACAGGAGACGCTTAAGACGTTTTCTTTCAAGGAATGAATGGCTAAATGAACACATGCAAAGGCTTGATTTTTTTAAACCTAAGTGGAAACTGTATATAATTTCATATTGTGCTCCTTAAAACTTAATAACATGTAATACGTCCTTTCCATAGAATCATGCTTTTACTTATTTATTTATTCATTTTTGTGACAGGGTCTCACTCTATCACCCAGGCTGGAATGCAGTGGCATGCTCACAGCTCATTACAGCTTCAACCTCCTGGGCTGAGGTGATCCTCCCACCTCAGCCTCCCTAATAGCTGGGACTATAGACGTGTGCCACCATGCCTGGCCAATTTTTGTATTTTTTATAGAGACAGGGTTTTGATGTTCTGGTCATTTGATGTTCTCTGAAACCCAGAGACATGTCAGTCTGCCAGTGCTAGGAGTTTTAGTGCCAAAAATATAAAAGGAAAACTATTCTTCATCTTTTTGGGGTATGGTTTTGTCAACCTGAAGTAATCGAAAGGATCAGAATCCGGTTTAAAAGAGTTTATTCATATGAAAGACTAGGAATGGCCATCCAGGAAACACAGACTCCACAGAAATGGAGTCAGCACTCTGAAGTTAAAAGTTAAGGTCTTGCATATAGGAAGAAAACAAAGAAATTTAACAGGATCACAACATTTTCTACACAAGGCTGATTTATGAGTTATAACAATTTAGTTACAGTTTGTTTTCTTTTCCCTACGGCTTGTTTTCTTTACAGCTGGTTTTCATTTCCTTTCTGATTTAAGAGTATATTTAATATTCCATCTTAAGACAATGTGATAGTCATGAAGTCTTTGTATGAGAAAGGTTAAGAGGGAAATTAATCTATAAGGAAAATCAACAGAGAAGAGGGAAGGAACCTTCCCTGACACACTTTATTCATTTACGACATTGTATAAAACATGGAAACATTATACGTAAGAACAAAGGCTAATCTGTAATCAGAGAAACAGTTATACCTTTCTAGGTTACAGTTGCCTGTCATGTGACTCAGGCTTCATGATCACATTTCTTTAAGGGCTCAAAATAATTTAAAGCTCCAGCAACTTAGATTTTCAATTATTTATTTCCACAGTTTCATAGATGTTGGTCATGGGTAGTCTCGGGGTAACTATTTTTCAAGAATCTCTTGAACCCAAGGGGCAGGGTTGCAGCAAGCCAAGGCTGTGACACTGCATTCCAGCCTGGGCGACAGCGAGACTCCATCTCAGAAAAACAACAACAACAACAACCGCTATTAAGGTTCCAAGGAACTAAAAATACTTCACAGCTAAGGCAATTCATTTCAAATGACTCTAAATTGAATTTAATGTACCTGAAAAACACCTGGGCCAGTACATTCATCACACATAGTAGGCTTTCTATAAAGGCTTGCTGATAAACCAAGCATACGACCATGGGCAGAACCTAATGCTTAGACTGAGTAGTAAGTACTGAATTAGGAGGTGGACACCACATGGCAGGATCCAGGATCCAATCAGATTAAGCCCTGACATACCTTATGGCAGGATCCAATCAGATCAGGCTTCCTGGCATGACCTCGTTGCAAGATATAATAAGATCATACCTCATTAGCCTATGCTTATAAAAGCTGACCAGCCCCCAGCTCAGGGAGACGGATTTGAGCATTTCCTTCTGTCTCCTTGTTAGCTGACTCAAAATAAAACTTTCCCAATGTAAAAACCTGGTGCTTTGGTGTTTGGATTTCCATTGTCCACAGACAAACTGACCCAACTGGTTTGGTGACAAAATGATGGCCATGAAAGGACCAAAAGTAGGTCTCTACTTGACTTCTTAAATTTAATAGAAAGACTAAATATGTTTGGTCTCTAAAAATTATGCTATAGGGAAACATGTTTTTCTAATAATTACAAAATGGTTCTTATTTGTAAAAAGACTGATA